GCACCGCTCAGCTACCAGCGCTGCCTCATCAGGGAACCCCCACACCGAACCCGAGATCTCTGGCACCAGTCTCCCCCTCCCTGGACTACTCCCTGGGCCTGCGGTGCACTCAGCTGTTCAGGTCCCCAGAGTGACTACCAGAAACAATCTATACCATACCTGCAGCTTGTTCTTAAACTCTCTCTCTGTGCTTATTTAGCGAGCAACGCCTCTCATTCACCCCGGGAGACAGTAGTCCAGTCAACTCAGTGTGCCCAGCTGCCCCAAGATCAGCGGCTGAGACCGGCTCTGTTTTGTTTGTTTTTGTGGAGCATTAAATACGTTTTTCTTGTCTAACCTGGGTTTGAATCTGCATATTTACTGGGTCCTAAACAACTCACGTACAGTTAATCGTAACATTTATGGCATCCAAATCCTTCCTTCCAGACATTCATACCATCATTATCAGATTTGTTAGGTTAAAGTGTTTATAAATAACTGGTAACCATTGGATATGATATGAGAATAAGACGTCATTCTTTCTGAGGTCATGCACTAGTAAAAATCATTCAACTTTTACTTAAAGAAAATCTATTTAATTTGACTTTTTTTGCCAGAGGGCACATTCATCATCTTGGATAGGCAGCGATGGGCAGATCCCAGTATCACAATAGCAGGTGATGCCCAGTGTGCTCATCTTAAAGAGATTAAAAATCAAAGGCTGAGCAGGTCAGGAAAAGTAAACTCCTAGCATTCAGTACTATCCTATGTTGACTAAAAGTAATGGGATGGATACATCGTTAGATATATACACTACATTTGACAACGTGTGATAAGCTGCATTGCTAAACTTGCCAAAGCAGCTGAAAACTAAATTCTTACATTTATTTCTGTGCAGTATTTATTTGAAACTAGTGGTTTTAGATTTTATTTAAAAAAATAAATGATAGGAACAAGCCACAGTTTTGCCTAAAACGTGTCTTCTAACTTTTCTTTTTTCCTGTTCCTTCTCCTCAGCACACAGTAAGTAATGATCATTCTCTGACACTAAAACCACAGTCTTGCAACAATGTAGCGTGGGTTCGATTCCCATTTTATTTAACTCATCAATTAAACATTTGAAATGACATCACATTTGCCATCTAGCCTACTGAACACCCACTATTCAACATCTTTTAAGCTATGGGCTATTTAGATTTGTTTTGGGATAGAATATGATGCATAGCACAACATGTCAGGCTAAGTATATAGCTATAGCCTACAGCAATCAGACTTGCCAAATAAGAAACAGTCTTGAACATGAGTTCATGTTTATTTTGTGTTGCTTGAAACCATACAATCATGTAGTGTAGTCGAACAGGAATGTGCATGACAAATCAAATCCCACAATCCATGAACCAATAAATAACACGTCTCGATTGCACTTCATTTTATTGACCACTATATGTCCTACTCAAGCACTGTGTGATTGAAGCCTCGAGTAATGAACCATTGTTTGAATACTGTCGAAGCTTCAACAAAGCCTCAATCAGCCATCACTATTTGAAGCCCCTCTTTATTCATAATAAATATTAATGGTTTTGGTTTTTATTTAGTAGTAGTAGAAAGTCTACTAGAGGATGTAAATGCAGCACAAAGAACAATCACTACTACAACCATCACTGAGACCAACAAGCTCATATACATCCCTGAGATGCTTGGTGACAAGGTCAACAAAGATCATAAGCAGTAGTATGGAGAAGGAAGTTGAGACCAAATTCAAGGCTACAAGGAGAGAAGTTAGTCAGCTATTGGAATTGCAGAAAGGGTACCTAAGAAGTACACACTGTCCATACCCGAGAGAGACTGCCAAGCAAAGGCTCACAGCCCCGGCCACCCGGTTGAAGAGGTACACCAGGAGAGTAAACCGAATGCTCTTCACTGAGCCATCCACAATTCTGGAAGGGCATATGGGAGAAGGAAGCATCACATAAGCCGGGGGCGGCTGTGGCTCAGGAGGTAGAGCGGGTCGTTTCCTAACCGGAGGATTAGCGGTTCGATTCCCGGCTTGTCCAGTCAAGGAGTGCCCAACATGTCGAAGTGTCCTTGAGCAAGACACTGAACCCCCAGTTGCTCCTGGTGACGTCACCGGTGTGTGAATGCGTGAGTGTGAATGCGTGAGTGCGAATGGCCGAATAATGTGAAAGCGCTTTGAGTGTGCTGTAAAAGCGTAGAAAGGCACTATACAAGTATAAGAACATTTACCATAACAATGCCCAATGGCTGGTGGACCTGAGAGCAGACAGCAGACCACAGCAACCTCCCTGAACAAGACCCAGTAACCATCACAATGGTCTCAAGTACGAAGAGCGGGACAGCTCTGTATTGGCTCAATACATGAGCAGGGCACAAGTCAAGTGCGGTATCTACCAAGGAGATCCTCTGTCCCCGCTGCTGTTCTGCATAGGGCTGAACCCCCCTCAGGCAGATCATCACCAAGACCAGTTACGGATACCGACTACTGTGGTAGTGGAAACGTGCAGGACCCAATAAAGATGCCTGGAGACCCGGAGTAGCTTCGAAGACGTCTTTTATTTCATGCAGCATGGAGGGAAGTCGGACACAACTTAGCAGTCGCGCAGAGTTCTCTATCTGACTGGTAAAGGGCAGTCCCTTTTATACCAAAAGTGATACAATTACACATCTATAAAACTCATACCATTGTCTCATATCTAACAACCCACATATCGTCCCCAGCTGTCTTTGGTGCCTACACCTCTCCGCGACCAGACAGCCCATTCACATTTAAACAAAGACAAGTCGGCTTGTTTTGCATTCACACACAGACCCACTTAACATATTGCAAGTTCTGCTTTGTCTTGGGATGTCCTGCAGAGACCGAGGGCTCGTCATCCTGAGATGACCACTTGGCCAGTTTAACATACAAATTAACATCACACATACACACAGACACCTGGTGTAGATCACATTCCAGCAGGGAGGTGTGATCAGACATCCACATTT